AAGGACTGGGGGGCGGAGCGCAACCTCGAGTGCAGGCATGGCAATAGGTACACAGGCCTAGCTAGGTAGGGAAAGGGGTAAGAGGGTAGGGGCAGGGGTAGCAGGGTTCATGTTCCATGTTCAATTTATAACTTTTTTTTCTTCTTCTTCTTCTTCTATGGCATCTTTGTCTGTTCTATCCGTTGATCTACCTCCGTATCGAATGCGATCGATGCGATCGGGCCAGGCAGAGACTAGTCGTACCAGATGGCATTCATGCCAAAGCCCGGCTCGGGGATGCGCAGGCGGGCGACGCGCGCGAGGAACTCATCCTGCCACCTGTACATGTCGAGCCAGCCCTCCTGGTCGTCGGTGATGGCGACCCACTCGTCGGACCAGTCGCACGGGGCGACGGCGTTGCTGTGGCCGCCGCTCGTCGGGGTGGGGTTGAGGCAGATTTGGCGCTCGATTTCGCCGTCGTCGCGGAGCTTAAAGGCGGCAATGTAGCCGGTCAGGCCAAAGTCGTTGGCGCGCGACGAGGCGAAGAGGTAGCGGCCCGACTGGGTCAGGGCGCAGACGTCGGCGCGGTACATGGTCTTGGGGTTGGGGATGCCGGGCGGGATGAGGGGGTAGTGGGCGCCCGTGTACTCGGGGACGTGGGTGGTCGGGTTGATGCGGTAGACGCGGATCTTGTTCGAGGCCTCCATGAGGGCGTAGAGGTGGGTGCCCGAGGGGTGCATGGCGGTCCAGCGCGGGTGGTCGCCGGCGTCGGGGGCGGCCTGGCCGTCAACCAGGGTCAGGGCGCCCGTGACGGGGTCCTTGGCGTGGGTCCAGATCTTGTTGGCGCGGAGATCGGCCGAGTAGAGGTACGACTCTGTCGGGTCAAAGACGGAGCCGTGGATGCCCGAGTGGGGGTCGAGGGGGAAGTGGTGGACGGGGTCGGCGGCGAGGGTGCCGGCCTCGTCGACGCCGTAGACGGTGCCGTGGCCGGCATGGTTGTAAAAGGGGTTCGCGTAGACGGCGTAGGGCGGCTTCTGCGCGGCGAGGAGAAAGATGGCGCGCGTGTTGGTCGAGGCGGACGAGGCTTCGGGCTCGTGGGTCATGGGGTGGGAGGCCGTGTGGGTGATGGAGGTTGGGGACTCGACGGCATAGGATGACCACTTCTTCATGGCCGCGCCGTAAATGTTCTTCTTCTTGTGCTGGGGGGGGCATGTCAGTGAGATGTGAACATGTGGCAGCACGTGGGAACAAACATCAAAGGTCATCCATGAGATGGGTTCGTCTTGGGGAATCTCGGTGCGTTTGACGAGCTCGAGGGTGAGCTTCTCATCGTCAAAAGCGACGGTGAAAATGGCACCCGGTGGGGTCCAGGTGCCTATCATGAGGTGATGGACAGGCATTTTGGGCGTCGTCGAGAAGGCTCGGCAGGCGTGGCTGCGGTGCGCTGTGAGAAGAGAAGAAGACAGTCGGCTGGCCGACGCCAAGGTGTGATTGCTTCGGACGAGGAACGAAGTCAAGGATTGCATGAGCTGCGTCGTTTCTGGCTGTCAGTAGAGGAACAAGTAGAGAGTGGAAAGCCGAGTGGACAGGCAGCCGATGACGGAGTAACTAGCCAAGGGACACGACGCAGAGAGTGAACAGGATGGCAAAGAAAAATGTCGAAGCGAACAATAATGGACCTGGCAAAAAGACACGAACCTCGGACGCTGAAATCGGCAAACGGAGGGGCGGCGTCGGTCGGTGTAAGCCGGGATTGGGGTCAGAGGAAATGGACCTGACATGATGCTATCAGATTGTCTGGACCGGGGCGACGTGGTATTACTTTGACCCCTTGGGTTCTTCCCTGGTGCCCCTCCCCCTCCTTTTCCCGCGCCTGAGGTGTTCCTCGTGTGGGACGTGTGGGGCAGCTGGGATGGATGATCGGGAAATGCGGCGGCAGATGTGACGTGCGGTAGCCGTGGGAAGGGGAAGCACGGCATGTTCAATCAAGGCGTGTGTTGTGCGACGGCGCCTGTCTCCCGTATCCGACCCGGCATCGCACGACAGGGTGTCTGCGTAACGGCGGGTAGGGCACTGCGCTGCTTGACGCGATGTGTCTGAAGCTGGAGTAGGTAAGTAAGGTAGGTGAAGTACATGTAGCTGAAGTGGGTTGGAATGAGGAGGATCAGGTCGGCACCCAAGACGAAAGGGGGATGAATATTCTTCCTGTTGGAGAAGGACGTAGCCCCACAAGCTCCTGCCAGGTCTCGACACTGCGTCGCGGCTTCCTGAGCAATGATGAAATGCGGGGTCGTCGCTGCATCGTTGATGGTGATGGTGATGTGCGATGTGAACCAGCAGATCTGTCTTCGATCACCATGACGAGATGGAATGGCCTAGTTGGTTATTACTGGATGGGCGTTGCGTTTTATACCGCTATGTAGGTACCTTAGCTTCAGTAGCAGGTTATACTGTTCAGCTGGCCATTCAGTATATTTTCACGATGACACATACATGCCCCAGGGCCGAGAGTCACATTGGGATGAAAACCCACAGGTCTTTGAAGGTATTGTTTGACAGTGCAAAACCATTAACCATAACCAGTGGAACATTAACCAATGATTAACCAAAATGCAGCATTAACCAAATGCATAACTAAAAACATGGCTCGTCATTTTTACACCCAATGCATGCAGTCTGCTTCCTCCCACCCATCCACCCACGCCGCAGAACCGCTCCCCTAAAAGTTGTCCTGGTTGGCGTTGCCCATGAGCATGGTCATCTCGGGCTTGTACTTCTTCGACGCCAGCGTCACGTTGTACTCGCAGTCGAGCACGGCGCCATTCTTGTCGCCCGTCAGCGGCGTAAAGTCCAGCAGCAGGTCGTCCTTGACGGCGCACGCCGTGTCGGTGGACAGGTAGGGGTCGTCGCGCGGGTACAGCTGGGCCGTGACGCCGAGGAAGTCGTCGTGCGTGACCATGATGTGGATGTGGGCGGGGCGGTAGGGGTGGCGGCCCATCATGTGCAGCAGCGTCGCCGACGGGCCCGACGTGTCGATGGCGTACTCGGTCGGCTTGAGGCAGTAAAAGTCGAAGCGGCCGGCGGCGTCGGTGCGGAACTTGCCGCGCAGGTTGTGCCGCGACTGGTTCTCCGGGTCGTGCGCGTCGTATTTGCCGTTGGTCGACGCCTGCCACATGTCGAAGACGGCGTTGGGGATGCCGGCGCCCGTGTCGACGTCGCGGATGACGCCGTGGAAGTGCGTCAGCTGGCCGTCGGCCGGCATGTCCTGCACGACGCTGGCGCCGAGGTCGCGGAACGGCGTCTCGGGCGACCAAAAGGGCCCGAGGATGGCCGACGACGTGGGCGCCTTGCCGTCGGGGATCTCGACTGTGTGGTTGATCTCGTCGACGAGCCTTGTCTTGTTAGTCTGGGGTCTGGAGGCCAAGAGCAGCCGAAGCAGAAGGGAAGCAACAGAGGGAATGAAAATAAGGACGGAAAAGAAAATAAGGACGGGAAAGAAAAACGCACGACTCGATGCCCAGAATGTCGCACACGCGCCACGTCTCGTTGCGGTTCTTCTTGTACGCCTGGCCCAGCGAGTTGATGTAGTTGACGCCCGTGACCCACTCGTCCTGCGTCAGCTCGACCTCGCGGCAAAAGTCGTGCATGTGGCGGATCAGAGACGTGAGGATGACGCGCTGGCGGGGGTCCGTCTCGGGGCTCATGAGATCAATGACATGCTGTGTGAAGTTGGGGTCGAACTTGGACGAGCCCTTGGCCTGGCCGTTGGTGTGGCCGTTGGTGTGGCCGTTGGTGGTGCCGTTGGCTGCCATGGTGACAAGTGTCTGTCTGGGGCGTTGTCGTCAGGTGGTGGTATCTCGAACGGACAATGATGCGACTCGGAGGCTCTGGGGGAGAGAGAGGGCGTAGTGATATAGCCGACAAGGACATGCAAGAATGTTTGATGGAACAAGAATGGCTCTCCTCTCCTCCGAGACCCAGGGGCGAGACCGACTACTTATCGCATTCAGTGGCTCCAACCTTCGCCAGGCGCGATGCCGAACAGGCTTTCGCAGCGTCCCCAAAAGTTTCCTCCTCCCCCCGCGCTGCCGAACTCGTGGCGGCCACAGTTCAGAGGCGCCTCCACCGTGGCCGCGAATCATACGAGGCCTATTCTCATCGTCGCAGCCGTCCGTCACGGTAGCGGCAACGTAGCTCGGCAATCCGCGGGGGGAAGCTGGGCGCGGCTTCGATTGTCCTGGGACTCAGGGGAGGGGGGGCGCATGGCATGCCGGCTAAGCGTATATCCAGGGGGTTGACACCGCTGAAGGGCCCCCTGACAGGCGACGCAGAGTCTGGGGTGATCGTGCGGTGACGCCCATCCGGTCCGCGCCCACGTTTAGCCGACCCCAACTGCCGCCGCATCGTCCAGACATGCAGCCCAAGACACGCCTTATGGGGACTGCAGACAAGGGACCCAGTTCGGAACCCCTCACGCTCGAGGGAACCAAGGGAACCAAAGAACTACACCTCACGTGCCCCTCGGTGCAAAACGCGAAACGCGAGCTCCGTCCCTTTCTTGATGAATCGGCAAATCGGGACCTCCTTGTCGAATCAGGCGCTTTCCATTCTCCTGACCACGACTGCGCGGCACCAGCAGCAACCGTGTCGCCTTCCCGTGCGTGGCACGTTGGGGAGGTTCGAATCTCGCGGGGATCCCCGTGGGGCATCATCGCGCACCTACAATGGCACCATGTCATGGAATCCCGACGCCAACCCACAGCGCAAGCTCCCTTGTCGCCGGAATCCCAAAGGGTCATTTTTGGCATTAGACTTTCTGTGCTATCATAAGCATATGTGCAGCATGATTGATTACACCATGAAAGCCTCCCCCTTGCCAACTCCATCTTGGAGGCGATGCTCCTTCCTGTGAGTCCGAACCCTGATACGAATCGTGTCACGACATGAGTTCGACCTGGAATCCCTCAACCGACTTCACCTCTGCACAGCCGCCCACGACAGCCGAGCTCCAGTGGTTCAACTCACCGTCCCATCTGGCGTGATGTGGACTTGTATGGTCAGCACCGCCAAACCTACAATCATGGACACGCTGATGATCGGCAGATTGAACCGCGCAAAGTCGAGGTTGGTGACCTCAATATCCTTCCTCGCGAGAATGTCGCGCCACAGCAGCCCGGCCAGCGATGCGCTGAACGCTGCGCTAAAGGCACCATAGTTGACGCCAATGGCCATGCTGTACACCGTGGCCCAAAAGGTGCGGCTGTCGGTCTGCGAGCCGCCGACGCGATGTATCTCCTCCCATGTCTGGATGACGCGCGACAAGAGAATCGTAGTGCCAATGTTGGTGCCGGCAAACTAACAAGGACGCACATGTCAGACCTCGACACTGCCCCTATTCGTATGGAGACGAGGCGCTCCCGCCGAGAGAAACTCACATTACACAGAACGACAGATAGAAATCCCATGCCGCCGATACCACCTACAACGCCCGTCTTGTCGACCCAGTGTTTCCACCCGTACGCAAACGTGGCCACCCAGTGCTTCGACACCAGCGCCTGCACGAGCACAAACATGGCAAAGGCGAAAGGGATGAGTGCCAAGGGAAGATGCGACAAGACGGCCATGGTAGCAGGAAATGTGACTTCGAAGCCAATCGACCAACTCTCTGCAAGAACCGACGAGTGTTCTAGGTCGCTTCCGGCGCGCTGTGTCCATGTTTTCAGCCTTGAAATCTTCACTTCCAAAGGTATCAAGCGACGCGGGAGACGGCTCGGCATGACTGACATGCGGCGCATTCCCTAGGAATTCTATTCCAGGATCGCATGTTGCCTGTTCTTTCGCTCTGGCGGGGCATTGGGTTGCTTCGTGGATTGTTAAAACGATACTTTCTGGCCTTGTCACGAGCTGCCCATCAGCACTCGCAGGTTGGCTCTCCTTCTCATCGGAAGGATTCACTGTTGTCTGCCGTCCTACGTGCTCGGAAGACGTTGTGATGGTTAGCGCGGGGTTCGCCTGCTGTACAGCCAAGGCTTGGAGGCGCTTCTTGTCGCCGAATTTGGCAATCTCTCGGGTCGTATGCCGGCTCTCCCAGCCACAGCCGACATCCCAGCAAAACATGAGAAAGGCGGCTGGGAGTGTGACCCAGAACACGGGATGTTCCCCGGTGCCTGTACTCGCCGCGTTCAGTGCCAGCAACGTGATCAAAGTGGTGGCCATGATGACCGATCCAACGATGGCCGACTTGGTGTCTAGAAAAGGATTCAGGACTTCCTAGAGGGCCAGCAAGTCCCGCGAGGAGTCGCCGTCCTGGGCGCTCGCTGTCTGTCCAGCCTCCCTCGGCGCGCGGTGGCTCAGCTCGGTGACGGCAAGGTCCTTGGCGGCTGGGATGTTAGGGTTTGCAGGCGGCACGTTGCTCAAGTGACTTGGCAGCTGGTACATGGTCATGCGCCTAGGAATCAAACCGGGCTCGGTGAAGATCAAGTACAGCAGGATGGGGTAGAGGACAAGGGCCGTGATGACGGTCGGCACAACCATGTTAGCCGTGTAGTGGATAAACTTGATGCCGAAAGCGCCAGAAAGGACAAGATTGGTGGGGTTGCTCGAAACGAGAACGGCAGACCCAATGTTGGCAGCGGCGAACTGGGAGAAGATCCAAGCGCGAGGAGACGACAGATCCTTGGATACGCGGGTCATGTACGCCAGAAAGGCGGTGCCGCTCAGTATCACAGGGTCGTTTCCAATGAACGTCGTGAGCCCAAAGAAAAACATGTAGAGGTAGAGTTAGAGACGGCGGCCGTTGTTGCCTCCCCATTGGAGGACCTTGAAGGCGAGAAAACGAATGAGCCCCGAGGCATCTATGGAGATGGCAATGTAGGCCAAGGTGATGAAGAAGAGCATGATGTCGAGAGGCGAGATGTTGTTGGCGCCCAGCGTGCCCTGGCGGACCTCCTTCCCGCCAATGGCACCAATGGCGAGGAGGAAAAGATCGGCCATGATGGGAGCCGTGGCGAAATTCATAGGAAACCTGACTTTGATGTGCTCGTAATGCAAGAACCCGAGATATCCTCCAGCTGAGGTCGTTGGAATCGATCCACTAGTAGGGCTTGCCGACACCAGCCCTGCCCTCGACTCTGATGCCGTCGGGCCACTGGTCGGGCTGCCATGTTCCCGAGAGCTGGCACCGACAGAAAGTTCGCGTCTGTTTCTTGGCTCGGAGATCCTGAGCCAAGCGAACAGGTCCCTCAAACCATGATACCATGCTACCGGGACCCCAAACGTGACGTGAAAGGAACACAGGACGTTGACGTCTAGATACCTTACCTGATGACCGCGAACCCGGCACTACTGCTGTTGCTATCCTCATCACTTTTGAGGGGCTACTTTCCCGGTATAGGCTGTTCGGGAAGCAAGAAGGCATGAGGCATCCCTCTGTTTTATTGGACAGCCGCTGACACACGGCATGATATGTCTGACGGATGCAGCTGCAAAGGCACATCGTGTATGAGGTGGGCATAGCGTCAGACACGCAGCCTCTTCCCTCGCCGGCTCACAACACAGCCCTGTGTAACACCCAAAATTTATCTGACCTGCTACCTGATACCACGGTGTGGTAGACAGGCAGTGAGGGATACCCAATGTCGTCCGCTGTCTCTTCCACGTGGGTTGGGCATTGGCCTCTATGTGTTCTCCCTTCTCGCAACCTTCTTTCGACTCCTTAGCGACTCTGTTTCCCACCTTGTATGTTGCTATCTTTCTGCCCCCCCGCACCATGATCGTGCCACGCTTCAACAACGACGACACGAGCCCATCTGCGTCAAGCCTTCATGAGGATCATAAAATTGCTTCTGCTTCGCATCTGCAGGTCATCTGTGCTTGGCCCCTCTCCGGACAATATGGATTCGGAGCTCGTTTGCTGTGAGTATGCCATGTTACCCTTCCCGATCCCCCGTCCGCCAAGGGTCCCTCGTCCTTCCAGAGCATTGATCCATGCCAAGTCGGGCTGGTCCGATCTCTAGTAGTCACTAGATCTGGGAATGATAGACCTCATCTCTTACCATGCTGTCTCAGGTTCTACCTTCTTCTCGTCACGTGCGTGATTGCCCGAAAGATAGAGTGGCTAAGAAATACATTTCTCGCGGCCACCCTGCTCTTCCCCATCGTTGCCGCTCTTCACGGCATCGTTCTTGCGGCAAATCATGTCGATGGTAAGCCACCTACATCACACGTCTGTCAGGTTTCGGCCGGACGCCATGCGTCAGCGGTGCTAATAACCTACCACGTCCTAGGGGCAATAGATATGGATATATTCGGGGTTTTTCAGTTGTGCTCTCTTGGTATCCTCGCTGCTCCTGTAGCTGCGCAAGTGAGTCGAACCTACTTTGCGGCGCCTGGTCGTAATACCATCTTCGTTTGGGCCTGCTTGAATTTGGCAGGTGAGAGACTTTCTTTCCTTTTCCCCCTCCCTTGCTTTGAGATGAGTCTCTTTGATCCTCTCTCTGCTCTTTGATACGCCGTTGCCTCGTTCTCCACGAAGCTGATTCAGATTACATAGGCTTATTGAGCCTTACCGTTGAATTCTACCGGTCACAGGTCCACGAATGCCTGCTCACTGACAGTACGAGTGCCGATCTCATCGACTCTACAAAATTCCCGTACGGCCCTAGCACGACTTGCGGCCTCACTTGTTCAACGACAGATGGGCCATTCTCGGCTCTGCGGCGTGGTGCTGCCAATAACATCTATGTTATCCCAGCACCTGAGTTGTTCAATTTTCGCACAGCAACCCTCTTGTCGGCAGGCTGTTGCGTGCATGCTGGCGTGTGCCTACTATACATGATGAATAAAATATTACGCGAGAAGGCGCTCCGCGTCCAAACAGACGTATATGGCTCCCACGGCAGTGCCCAAGACGAGGGGCAGCAACTTAGCGGTGATGGTAGCATGAATTTCATGCAGGGAGGTGTAGACACGGCCCACAGACCTGCACAAGACGCAGCGATCCTAGACCTTGAGGAGAAGCGAGGTGGGGCGTTCAAACGCATTCTCCGGCTGCTAGGCGTTCCAAGAGAGACATTCGTTACCATCCTCAACATTGTTCTTTTTGGAGGCGCCGGACTAGGGGTGCTTGCTGTTGGGGAGCGCAACTTCCACTCCGCTCAGCTATATACGAGACTGAGCCATTGTCCAGCATAGGTATGTATCCACCCTTCTTTGAGACTTTGTTTCTCCCGACTACCATCATAACATGCAGGTCTGACTCTTATTTTCAAGGCCAATGGTCTTCCATTGTTACCGCTGTTCTCGCCGCCCTCGGATCCTTATACGTCCCCATCCACGCCGATATGATGGCGGTGAAGAACAAAGCAACTCGAGAACTAGATCAGAATCGGACCTACAAGATTGCCGCCTTCCTTTGCAAGTGGCAGGGCGTCTTCAAAAAACAGATGGTTGGCCTGATCCTGAACAAACCCAATCCTGCACCGGGGATTCCTCGAGTACCAGCAGAAGAGCAGCGAAATCCCCGCTTGTCGGAGACACATGATGTGCCTGCAAGGTCTAGAAGATCAAGCATTGCCGCCAGTCATGCAGACTTTGAAATGAGTGGCGGCAACGGCCACGGCGTAGAGAGACTACCGCTGCGACAGGCAGCGACTGAGCCTTCGGCTCCGCATCCTAGACAAAGATCTGACTTTTTGGATGTCCCATGTCCCTCGGGACCTTGACTCTGTACGCAACGAACATGGACTTTGGCGATGAGCACTACGTCGATGGTTGAAGCGCCAACGCTAGGGCGGGAAGGCCAGACACCGAATGACATTTTGATTAGGGTCTATTTTCTGTCAGGTGATTCATGTGCTTAGAACCTTGAATGGCCATTTGGATGAAGTGTTTGCAACAGGGACGGTACAATGGTTTGCACGTGCGACGTAGATATAGCTTCCGCTTAGAGTTTGATTCAGGCTTGGCACGAATGATACCACTGGAGCGGCCACCAGACCATTTGAATTGACTCGTGCCTCAGAGAAGAAAATCACCCTGGCATGTGAAAAATTGTGTGGTCAAACGATCTCTTGCAGTACCCTCGTTGAAAGGCTTCGAGGGGCGTGCTGAGGCTCCGACGCACGTGGCCGTGATGTCCCAACGTTTCGACGGCGGGCTTCACTCCTGCGCCACAAGCACAGCCCCTCCATCCTCCCTGTTACCCAGCCCGAATGCTTTCCATCCAGCCTTGGGCAGATCGATGGACTGGTCTTCAGCGAGGAATTTCATGAACACGCCATGCGTGACTACGACTATGTTCGCACCCCGTCCCTCGCCGCCCGCTCGATCTCCTCCTTGACCCAGAGACGTCGCAATATCGCGCAACCTGTCGCGGAACCGTTGCGCTCGTTTCGCGACGGCCTCATCATCAGCGGCATAGAACCCCTCCTTGACCAGCCAGTCCTCCCCCAAGTGTCCGAAATCGAGATGCGGAAACGCCTTTTCCAGATCCGCACGTTCCGACCCGGTGTCGCAGGGAAGGTTGCTGCGCTCTTGGAGGTCTGCGTCGATGATGAGCTGCGCGCCGCCCGTCTCACCCCCTCGCGCGAGGTGCGGAAAGCCGGCGATGGTGGTTTGTAGCGTGCGCGTCAGTGGAGACGTGATCACGACGTCGATGGACGCTGGCTCGGGCAGAGTGGCAGCAAGAGTTGATGCCTGGGCCTTGCCGGCTGTAGTGAGGGGCGGGTCTCGTATTGTGAAGTCTTTGGAGATGTTGTGCTCCGCCTCGGCGTGACGGACGAGGTAGATGATGGGTGCCATGACTCAAGCTCTCAATGTCTGTGTCTCCTATCAACTTGTTTTCCGCTGATGATGTGTGCTGCCTGTGATCTTCTTATGTGCTGGTACGTTTTCACATTGACAGGAAACACCATTTGCGCCTGTGATGACGCCATGCCAATTTGAGCGCTTGTGAAGGACGCTACCTTATCTGTGTCAGCAAGCATCAACCAACCACCTTGAGTTAAGTAATTGCCTTCAAGTTCATGTCGAAAATAGGCCAGTGTGAGATTTCAGGACTAGACCATGATTCAACCCACGCTTTATTTTGAAATTGAATCTACCTGCGTGGCTAATGTCCCCTGTTGTGATCGAGTTCCGGCCATGCCGAGTGCATCTTTAACGCTCCTATCAGTGATCATTATATGTGATTCGACCAAGCTCAGGACTCCAAACTCAGGCGACTGGATATCTGTAGCACAGAGACGAGGAAGGGGTCGCAAATGACAATCCTGTGTCGACAGGTACGATCACGGAAAATTGTTACCATAAGGTGTCTTATAGAGCCTTAGGAGGGGTCCTTCAGATACTCAGACCTCATCGTCTTCACGTCTGTTGTCAGCAGCACATCACTTTCAAAGGCGTCAAGTCAAGTACAGGAGAGCGGCCCCAGGAAATCGAGACAACCAGTACCTCCGTTATACTCATCCTACTACGCAGCCTCAAGATGTTGTTGTGGATCAAGAAAAACGGCCTAATCGGCTGAAGAGGGGTTACATATGCAAGAGATAGGATGGCAGGCTCGTAGTCGCGTGCCACGTTGCCTAGAACCACGCTGGCGGAGAGTGCAGATCCTCCTAGCTGCATGGGAGGATCGCGGGATGGTAACGAGTCGGCGCACGTAGCACTCCCCGGTTGGGACTTGGGAGTTCTCCGCTGCAACGGTCGATGGGTGGTGTGTTCAGCGAGTCAAGGGTTGGGTGAGCTTGTGAGGATCACCTCCTGCCGAGGGATAGATATCCATATTGGAGAGATTGTAGTAGCATGGTCCCGGGCCGAGCCTAATCAGGAATAAGGCCAGAAACGGTTTCGGTTCGGCGGGCCATTGGTCGATAAGTACGGTAGAACGTAATCGTGAGGGAGGTCGTCTCCTCCGCTGATAGAAGCGCGAACAAGCAGTAGTCATTGCCATGATTCTTCGGTGGAGGCCGGATGTGCAGGGGAAAGGAACGAGGCATGCTGCCTTCGTCCGAGGTCGGGCACGTGTTGGCAGCATCTTCCTTGCATTCAGCTACAGGGCCAGGCAAAGAAGAGGAGGGGCCCTCGACAGATAACTCTACACGTGATAGCTTTCATTGGCCCGCGCGATAGGGGACTTACCCTCCAAACCACAGGGGACATGCGCTACAGGGGATGGCGTACAGGGGATGGCGTACAGGGGATGGCGTACAGGGGATGGCGTACAGGGGATGGCGTACAGGGGGCCGCCCGAGCCACAGCAAATGGCGGGGCAGGACCAGGAAGTGGCGGGCATGTGCCGGCTGCCGTCTTGTCTCTTCTGCGCCATCCTCTCCAGGCCAAGTCGTTCCTTTTTCAACTGAACATGGCCTTCCATCTCGTCTTCCATCAATCTTCATCCAACCAGCCACGGAGAAGAGTAATCTCCATCTCTCTCCTGCCGCCAGCCGACACCTCTACCATCCACAGTCTCGAATCCGAGGGACTACGACCCCTCGTAATTGGTGGAGATAACCTTCCAAGCATGGTTTCCTAAGAACGGCTTGGGCCACTGGGGAAGTCTCCACGGCGGAGAAGATCAAGATCCCGGTCACCCTCCAAGTACTCGCCTCTCCCAACCATCCGAACCCCCCTCCCTCCCCCCTCGAAGCCCTCACCTTCCCAATGAGGAACACGCCGGGGCTCGGCCCAACGACGCGCTATTCAACATGCAGGCAAAGCAACGCGCGCCTCTTCAAGCCTCTGCCCGTCCTGATCGCCCCCTTTGCCCTCTACAAGGCTCGCAGGAAACGTGCCAGGCAACGCGCACTCTAACAGGGCAGCTGATAACACACCCCTACCCATGTCGGGACCTGCCGGCCATCTCCATCTCTTGGATCTGCCGTCCTGCGCTGGACCACCTCATCCATTGACGAATCCCCGTCGCCGATGTCCTTTCCGCGATCAGAGACAGGCCCCCGTGCTACTGTTGCCTTCGGAAATGGCCGCCCTCCCATCTGGCTGGTGTGCACTCCCAGATGTCCGCCCCATCATGAGGGTCCGTCGTACCTAGGTCAGGGTTGATGCAAGGCGGGCCGCGCTGGCAGCTACAAATACCAAGTAGCATCCCCGGACTCTGTTCCTAGATGAGTCTCCAGGCCGCCGATCTCACGAGAAATCGTCCCTCCTTGCAGGTCCCTCCTCGTCGTCTCGTTGCTAATCGACCTTCGCATCACCATCTTGCGATCTCCTCGATCCTCCAAGATGAAGGTCGCCGCCACCCTTCTCTCCCTCGCCGGTGCCGTTGCGGCTACCACCATTGCCGAGATCAACGGCAACAAGTTCTTGTCGCCGCTCCAGGGACAGAATGTGACGGCTGTTGAAGGCCTCGTCCTCGCCAAGGGTCCCAACGGTGTCTGGATCCGCTCCACCGTGCCCGACGACGACGACCTGACCTCTGAGGCCGTCTACGTCTTTGACCGCAATGTCGGCGCAAACCTTGCTGTTGGCGACATCATCAAGCTTGACGGCACCATTCTCGAGTACAGGTGCGTGCATGACCGTTAGGGCGGCCAAAACCCCGCTAGTGTTAAGCATAACTGACGCGCGCAACGCCCTAGGTCCACCAACACCCACCTCTACCTGACCGAGCTTGCCACGCCCCGCAACGTTGAGGTTGTCTCGCGCAACAACGCCGTTGTCGCCTATGTCATTGGCGAGGACACTCCCAGCCCGCCCACCGAGCAGTACACGAGCCTCGACGGCGGCGATGTCTTTGCCGTTCCCAACGATGTCCGCCGTGTTTCTGCTGTGAACCCTGTGCTCGAGCCCACCAAGTACGGCCTGGACTTCTGGGAGGCTCTCAACGGCGAGCTTGTCACCGTCAAGGCCCCCGTTGGCATGACCCGTCCCAACCAATTCGGCGACACCTGGGTCCTCGGCACCTGGACTGCTACCGGTCGCAACGAGCACGGCGGTATCTCTATGCTCGACAAGGGTGAGTTGACTCGAGCTTGGAATTGAGGTTGCGCGACACCTGGCTGACCGCAGACGTAGATGCTAACCCTGAGACCGTCCTCATCGGCTCGCCCCTCGATGGTACCCGCAACCCGGAGTCCAAGATGGGCGATAAGCTTGCCGACATCACCGGCGTTGTCACCTACTCCTTCGGCTTCTACCGTATCCTGCCCCTGACTGCTGTCAAGGTTGAGTCTGCGTCTTCTGCTGAGACGAGCCCTACAACGCTCGAGAGCAGCGGCGACTGCCGAGGCATCACCTTTGGCTCGTACAACGTTGAGAACCTGTGGCCCGGCTCCGAGCACCTCCCCGACGTCGCTGACCAGATTGTCGACTACCTGAAGACTCCTGACCTGATTTTCCTTCAGGAGGTTCAGGACAGCAACGGCCCCACCAACGACCTGATTGTCAGCGCCAACATCACTCTTGCTACGCTTGCTGCCGCCATCGAGGAGAAGAGCGGTGTTGTCTACGAGTGGCTCAACGTTGACCCCATCCGTAACCAGGATGGTGGCCAGCCCGGAGGCAACATTCAGACCGCGGTGAGTCGACCCGTGATGATGACCTTGGAAGCACTGACTGATAAGTTGTGATTAGTACCTCTACCGTCCTGATGTCCTCGAGGTCTACAAGCCCAACCAGGGCGGCAGCCTCGACTCGACTGTCGTCGTCGACGGCCCCGCCCTGTCCTTCAACCCCGGCCGCATTGACGTAGCCAACGACGCTGCCTGGGCTAACAGTCGCAAGCCTCTGGCCGCCTCTTGGCGCGCCATCAAGGGCTCCAAGACGAAGCCCTTCTTCACCATCAACGTCCACAACGGCTCCAAGGGTGGTTCTTCCACCCTCCACGGCGATAACCGCCCTCCCATCAACAACGGCGTCGACAAGCGCCTGCTCCAGACCGGCAGCATCGGCGCCTTCATTGACACTCTATATGCCAAGGATCCCAAGGCGCGCATCGTCGTGTCTGGCGACTTCAACGAGTTTGCTTTCGTCGCGCCTATGAAGCTCCTCACCGAGAAGCACAAGTTGACGAGCCTGAGCAAGCACAGCCTGCCGGCTACGGAGCGCTACAGCTACGTCTTTGACGGCAATGCCCAGCAGCTTGACCACATGCTGATCAGCCCTTCCTTGGTCAACGACAAGGCCAAACTCCAGCACATCCACGTGTCCTCGTGGCGTCGCTTCGCCGATGTTGTGAGCGACCACGACCCAGCTGTTGGCCGGTTGAACGTGTGCGGATGCTAGAGGACGCGAAAAATGTACAGTAATGTGGCATGACTTGAAAGCCGCCTGAATATAGACAGCCATGATGATGAGTTGAACACGCAATGTCCCATTCCAGTGCAGCGTCATGTGTGCATATTCGTGTAGTTTTGCAGTCGCCTCCATGATTCAACAGTACGGTCAGGCCTTCCGGTCGTGCTATCCAATCGATTATTGTTGTTTGAAGCTGGCGATAGCTTGAAAGTCTCCGAATCTACGTCATCTCAAGCAGCACCCTCACTCTCTCCTTCTCCTTCGCTTTCGTCGTCATCATCACTACCCTCCGGCGCAGCCTCATCCTCTTCGTCGCTCGTATCCCCAGGGTCCGGCATGACTATGCGGTTGAGAAAGGTAATCTGGCGCGTCAGCAACGACAACGTACCATTGCAGTGTGCAAGGGGAACTCACGAAAGGCTCCATCGCGACGACCATGTCCTTCAGCCTCTCCTGCGCGTCCTCCTGCGCGAAGAGCCCGTCCTCAATCTTGGCCCCCACCGTGTAGCTCCTCAGCTTGAGGAGCTCAATGTCACGATGATCTGCCTCCCAGCCCTGACGACGCACCATCATCAGCATCAAGCTCTAGTTGAGGGAGTTGAACGCGATTGACGAAAGAAAGAAAGATATCAAAAAAAAGGAAGGGAAAAAAAAAGAAGGGAAAAAAAAGGAAGGGGAAAAAAAGGAAGGGGAAAAATACCTTTGGTTTCGTCTTGAGCGCATTCTCCTGATTCCCCTTGCAAAACGCATCCACCGCCTCCTCGTCCCCCCCGCCCTTGCCCTTGCCCTCGAGATATATCCGCTTGAAGACAGGCCCGTTGAGGACGGCACGCCACCGCGCCGGGCGCGCGTCGACGCTCGCGCGCAGGGCGCGCACCTGCTCGGCGGGCGGACACCACAGGCCGCCGCCGAGAAAGGCGCGGCCGGGCTCGACGTGGAGGTAGTAGCAGGCGTAGGGCCCCTTGCGCCGGGTGCGCGACCAGGGCGGCGCCAAAAGTGGGGGCTTGTAGGGGCGTCGGTTTC